GTGAACAAGGAAAATACTATTGGTGTACCACAACATTGCTAATATTCAATATATGTAAGCAATCTTCTTTTTCTCTACTGTGGAGAAGAATGCGTTGCACGCTACCTGCTTATTCTGAGTTCACTCAATTGTACATAGAGATCCATAAGTGAGGTTTCCTATTCCTCACTGGCAAAAGGGAAATAAAGAAAGATTTCTAATAACATCTTCATCTCCCTGAACTCCACAATCCATTCTGGAGGATTGTGGGACTATGTAGAAAAGGATGGCAGGCTACAGGGATAATAGAGAAATGGCAAAAGTTAGGTCCCACCAACCCACCATTTTGTGAGAAAAAGATCTTGCCAGAACCTAATCCTTTCAGTTTGCTTGATTTATATCCCATATTCTTCCAAAACGTAAAGGCAGTTTACATAGGAACCTCTTTTCATTTTAGGCTCAGAACTACTTGGTTTGGTAAGTTGGGCTGAGAGCAACTGAACAAACTCACCCAGTAAGTTTCCATGGCTGAGGGTGCACTTGAGCTGGGTTTTCCCAATCTTATTCGTCCAATGTCTTTAAGTTCAGTTGTAATCTCCAAATGGAGTGTTAAAGCTCACACATATGCATTGTGGTATAACCTTTGGGTATGCCAATACAGTACCATAACTAGGTTTATTTCCAGGGGTTTCAGCTAATTTAAAAGGCTTTCTATTTCTTTTATTCTGTCCTCCCTCTGAGTAACCTAAGATTAAGTTTTATAAATAATTAGCTTTAGAGATTATGCTCCAAAAGACGGTAAATATAATTTAAGATTCAAAAGCTCATGTCAACTCTGGCTGTCTCATCTTCCACATCCCCCTGAAGTCACCAGTCTTATTCTAATTTCTTAACCATTACACTATACTGGATAGTTTATGAAACTATTGATGAAACTATTGATGACATAATTATGTTGGATTCAACCTAATACATCCTACGAGGCTAGAAGAGGGCACTCTTTCACTCTGGGCTAGACAGCATGTCACAAGACTACTGAACTACCTTACCTGAGAGCTTGAGTAAGCCCAGGATTCTGCTACAAACTACTTTCCATTTGGGTTTCCAGAAATCAATTGTACATAATTGACAATGTTTACCATCAGGGTATGTTCTAAAGCTAATTTTTTTGGTGGGGGGACAACCTCTAGCCACAACTTGTACTTCCCAAACCCTCAGAACCAGTTTAAAGACAATCCATGATGATCTTCAAACCTGCCAATCTCAGTGAAGGGAAGGAACACAAGCAAGCAAGCAAATGACTTGTTTTACTGTATTTTCAAATACAACATAGCCGAGGCAGAAATAAACTGACTAAGCTCTCAAATGGAGCAGTGGTCTAGCAGTCTTGGTATGGAACTGCCCAGACTTGAGCCTGCAAATGGTTTAATACTTAGCCTTCTCATTGTTCCCCTTATGGCAGAAGTCTTAACATTTTTAAACCAAAATCCATCAAAATATTGTAATTCCAGTATTTACATGAACATATTGGGAATGTACAACACTTTCCCTAAAGCAAAGCAAAAATTACTTATATTTATTTTATAAATTCAATCCAAATTATTCCCAGTTCCTTACAGTGAACAGTAAAAGAGTCCATAAAAAGGGAATTAACATTATTAATTGTGTTTTTAAGTTTGCATATCATGTCAATGATGTCTCCAGATGTTCTGCTGCTGTAATAGATTAATACTCTATTCAGAAAGAAAAGATGTTAAGAAGCTACATCTTGTACTAAGTGATTTCAAGGTTCAGAATTGTTTTACCACATATACTGCTGCCATAAAGAATTGTGAAATATGAACATTCTGTCTCTTGGCAATACAAAAGTCTTTCAATGTTAATCTTCCACAAAAAGAAATAATTAAGGTCTACTATAAACACAATATAGTATGAGCAATACCTTCCTAGAAAACAAGCATTTGTTAGCTTTTAAAGTGTACAAGCTCAATAAAATATTTGTTGTGCTGCGAAAAAGACGACAATCTGTAATCCAAGATGAACTTGTCTGGAAGTTTTTCAGAACAAGACAATGAAAACTGAATTTTAGAAAAGTGCCAAATAAATTCACTTTACCAGTGGGAATGTTCTTCCAGTGTCTTCACTGGCTCATTGACATTTCTGGTGTCCCAGAATTTCACCTTGCAGTCATCTCCACAACTAGCCAGATAGTACTGTTTGTTGGGATTAAAATCTAGGTCCCGCACCAGCTGTCCGTGAGCATTTTCTATACAATATATTTGGCTGCAGGAGAAACAAAAAAAGATTCATCAAGAATAAATACATCTATAATGAAAGCAAGGCAGAGTGCTAATTAAAAAAAAGGGGGCATGTTTGCACTGCAAATTAATCTGTGTCCGTTTAAGGAAAGATAACTTGCTGCATCTGTTCTAGTGGTGGTAAGTCTTAGCATCTCTGCTTCACTCCTTTAAAACTACTGTCTGAACTGAATGTCTGGGAAGAGACTATTTATTATGAGCAAACAATCTGGGACCTCCCATTATGTGAATGCAGAGCTTCTATCACCTATACACACATCGCCATATCCATCACTCTTCCCTGCATTGCTGTAGGGCAGCAGATAGGGGGAAATAACCATTCATTAGATTGTCTTCACCATACTGGCAGCATCACTGAGAACTTGTATCAATGCCAAAGTCCATCTTCTATGTAGGAGAATGGGGGACAAGGAACTAATAAGTAGACAGAGATCACCATATGTGCATGTCACAGTGCCGATGGTGAAATTCAGATGTGCACCACAGTAGATTTGAGGCAGGCTGGATGCTGGTTACAGATACCTCTTGCTGGCACTGACTCGAAATGAGCGTGCTGTTTCATTCTCACTTGACTGCGAACGTGGTTCCTTCTTTTGGCATCTACTGGCAGAAGCAACTGTCAGTTTAAACATGAGTATCTTGAAGTAGCATGGAACCAGCAACATGGATGTACAGTTGATTCTCATTATTCATGGTAATTATGTTCCATAAAGTCGCCACAAACCCTGAATTAGCGAATACTGAACCAAACAGGATACCTGTTGTCAGTATGAGAGCTGAAACAAGAAGTCAGAGCCTTGTTCATGCTCAGCTGGGAATGCGTGTATGGGCGACTTAAAATTTTCGCTGCTCTGTGCATGTCTGTGAATGACTGTGAAAGCACTATGACTATTGATTTTGGGGTTACAAATAAATGCTAGCAAATAGGAGAATTCACAAATATGGAATCTGCAAATAATGAGGATCGGCTATATTTTTAAGCAGTCTTTTTATACTGCTTTTAAATCAAAATGGTTTACAATGGATACAATAAAGACAAAAAAAAATTAAGAATAATAAAAGCAGTCAAAACACCCGGCAGTATAAGAATAAAAAAAGAATGATTAGGGCACTGATAACAATCAAGGGAAATCCTGGGCAAATAGGTGCATTTTCAGTTGTCAGCAAAAGCCCTCAGTTACGGAAGTTCTCCCGAGCTCCAAGGCAAGTTCGCTTTGTAAAAATAAACTCTTTTGAGGTGTATGTTTGATTATCCTTGTCAACTTTGGTATGTCCCTTACAAATATTGTGAGCCTGAAAGACCTCCACCGTGACTTACAGAGAAATTTCTTTTTAAAAAGACAGTCCCTGTCCACCTTGCAAGTTTAAATAGACACAGTTCAGAAGGAAGTCTGAGATGAGGAGAAAAAAACCCAATAAAAACCCTCAGATATCAATTCTTCATATTTCATGGCTCTTATAATGGCTTGCTTGATGGAGTAAGTTGACCTGGGAGGTTCTGATGGCCCTGCCCTCTCCAAGGGAATGGTTTCGACACTCTTCCTTGCAGGACATGAGTTCTGATAATAGCAAGGGGAAAGAGGAGCTGAAAAGGATGGTGGGGAAAGAATAACCTTTCAGGAACTCATATCCCATATATTCTTTGTGAGTTCTTCTTGAAGAACCTTGAAGTCAATCCTCTGCCAGAAAATGTCACAAAGAGGAATCTTATTTAAAAAACAAAACAAAACATGAAGCTTCAGATTGTTTGTAAGCCAGAGGACAAGGACTGTCATGTTTTTATTATTCTGTAAGCTACCATGAGAGCTTTTCAGGATGAAGGGGGAGGGGGGAGAGGAGTTTAAACACTTTCAATAAATAAATATTTGCATAACTTCCTCCCCAAACATGTTTAAACATGCAATTAATATCACTCTGAGTTTGGCTCTTTTTATATACAGCACAGAGTGTAAACTTTTCAACCTGGAGGTAAAATTGAAGTAGGAGAGACAATTCTACCCTTTCATATATACACCCCAAATCAAATAATTTGTCTCCACAAAAATCCATGCATGCAGGATCATGCCTGATTATTTCATGATATATTGAGTTTATGTGTTTTCACTCAGATGTATCAAGAATATTTTATTTCTGTTTTCTGTATAATCTGGAAAGCGCCAAGAATAAAAATGTATCTATGTATGGAATACATGTATGTATGAGCGGGGATGAATTTAAGGAGAACCAAATACTACATGAGTGTGCACAAAACAAGAGAAAGAGAAATCCTCCTTTGCATTTAAAATTAAAATTCAACATAGGGGACCATGGGAACTACTTTTTCCAGAATGGATTGCTCCTATATTAGCTAAATAATATAGGTGGGGGAGAAAAATCAGAATAATTTTAATGCATTTGTTCATAAGCTCCAATGAGGATCACTGTCAATGGGGAGCAGTGTAGTTTCCTGAAGCCACTCCCCAATTACCTCATTTATTTGTCTATCCAGTGCAGAGGTAGCACTATACCGGGACCTATACAGCATGTCAAGGGCTGTATTCCAAAAGTGGAACCAGGACCCACTTCAAGAGAGGAGTTCAAGAGTTTTCAGAAACTGAAATGGAAGCCTCAGGCTTAAGCCATTCATTTTGCTCTACTGAATAAAAGCCAATACAAAAAAAAAAAAAAAAATCACATTTTTGACTCAATCCACTCTGGTGGGACAGACTTTGGAAGCCATGAAGTGGACAACAGGCCACTTGGATCCTGCTTAGTACATAGGAATGGAAAAGCTGCATGTATGGGAATATTTAAATAAAAACCTAAACCATGGTTTCACAGTATGTCTGGCTATAAAGCTAAGCATGTAGTTCTCCAGTTGCATCCATTCCATCCATCTGGGATGAAGAATGCAGTTTTACTTCAGTATATTTCTGGTTTACTGTTATATGCAGATCAGGAATTATAATATAAATGTGCTTATTTATTTTCAAGAATGAGCTCAATCACCTTATTGCTAAGAATTCTCAGGGCCAACAACAGCCTTGAGAAAAGCAGCGAGGGAATACAATAGCACTCTTCAAATACTTGAAACAGTATCACACAGAAGAAGAGAAAAACCTATTCTCTTTAGTTCCAAGGTGCAGAATGTGGAATGACGGATTTAACCTACAGGAAGGCTGATTTCCCTGAACATTAGAGAAAACCCCCAAGGGTAAGAACAGCTCAACAACGGAACCAGTTACCCAGAAAGGTGATGGGCTCCTTTACTCTAAGCAGAAGCTAGATGGCCATCTGTCTTTAATTTGGATTCTTGCACTGAGAAGGAGCGGAGTCCGCTGAGTTCCAATTCTATGATTTTAGGAGTCTAACAACATGCAAATCTAATCAGGCATACCACAATAAAATAATTTTTAAAAACCCCAAGCTATTAAAAAAATAGAAACTAATTAAAAGCAGTGGAGGCTAAAATATCACCAAAAGATAATCTAAAAATACACACACTACATATTTGGATTGGAAAATTGGCCTCCTCTAGCTTATTCTACAGGACATAGACTATTCTTGAAGGTTACCCAGAAACTTCAGCTGGTATGGGAATGCCCTGATACTGTCATATAATACCAGTACTTCAGGAGCTGCATTAGAGGATATTCTCTGCGGAGGCTTCCTTCCTCTACAACAGCTGGCATCCCAAAGCAAGAGCTCCTCCCTCTTTGTGTTTCCAAGTACAATTCAAGTTGCTGGTAATAACCTTTAAAGTTCTACATGGCATAGGACCAAGGTGTCTGCAAGACTTCTTCCAAATAAAATTTGTCTGCCCAAATTGTGCCAGTGAGGTATGGTGGGAAAAAGTGTCTGTCAGAGTATTTCTTCTCTGGAAACAGTTACCCCAGAAATAAGATCAACACCTTAATTTTTAAGATTTAGAAAGCTTGTTAAGATCTGGCTGCTTAAATCAGCATCCAGGAATTGAGGGGGCCAATTAATATTCAGCTAAGATGTGTGTGAGTGTTTTATTGCTATTATTGTTATGTTAAATGTCTTTATTATATTTATATATGTGTCTATGTGTGTTCATTGGAAGGACTGATAATGAAGCTCAAGCTCAGATACTTTGGTCACCTAATGCAAA